CCCCAGGAAGTCAGTGCCACTTCTCTGGTCCCTTTCCCCAGGAACATAGAACCTCGCCTGGGAGCTGAATAAATTGGCATTTAATTTTCTTATACTGGCCTCAGTTTCCTCATTTTAAACTTGGCAGTGACCCTTACACTCATGCCTCACACAATGAAAAGGATGTGTGATATAAATCATCCAAAGTAATTTTGGTCAGATAGTACAGAAACTATTTACACTTGGATTGGGAATAATTTATATGTTTTCTGCCAAATCTTTCCATCATTTCTACTTTTTAATTTTTCGTTTGTTTCTTTGATTAAGTCAATGTTAAAAGTTAAGGAATGTAAATTGATGAAACACAAAAAGAGACGAATTTGCTGCTGGCAGTATTAATTGCCTACACTGTATTATCATTCATTATGTGCTAGACATCCTTCTAAGGGCCTTATAAATATTTTCTCACTAACCCTTTCAACAATTGTAAGATGGGTACTGTTATTTTCTTTACTTCTCAGTTGAGAAAACTTGGGCCCAGAGAGGTAAAGTAAATTGTGCAAAGTCACACAGTAAGAAAGTAGTAGAACTAGGTGGGGTGTGGTGGCTCATGCCTGTAATCCCAGCACTTCGGGAGGACAAGACAGGTGGATCATCTGAGGTCAGGAGTTTGAGACCACCCTGGCCAACATGGCTACTAGGGAGGCTGAGGCAGGAGTATTGCTTGAACCCGGGAGGCAGAGGTTGCAGTGAGCCGAGATTGCACCACTGCACTCCAATCGGCAACAGAGCAAGAATCCATACTTAGGCAGCTGATTCTTAATTCTGTACCCTTAAATTTTTAGCTTAATACAGCAAGGAAATCTATAGCTAAGGAAACTGAGAATCAGAGACACCAGCTCAGTTGCTCCAGGTGGCACAGTTAATAAGTAGCTGTATCCAGCCCAAGTCTGTGTGATTCTCTCAGGTTGTACTGTTTTCTTTAGAGCCCTTGTTTCAAGAAGGGAGCAAGTCCATTTAAGGGAAACAAACAAACAAAAAACCCTGCTGTTCCTTGTGTTTGTTTATTCCTTAAGGGTGGCCCTGCCAAAGGACTAAATGTTTCTTCTTCCAAGGTAAAAGGCTTGGTGGCAGTAAATCAGTGTACATAGGTGTGCCTCACTGTACATTAGCATTTCCCTGAAAAGGTGTAACCTTTTTTTTTTTTTTTTTTTTAATTCAATCATTGTCGTTTGTGTACATGTTGGAGAAGTTTATCTTCCTTTATCTTGGCTCTTACCAGCTGCCTCCCACACTTTTTAATTTTTTTGCATTCCCAGCTTCTCTAAATACTTTTTTGTGCATGGGTGAGATGGAGTCTCGCTCTGTCACCCAGGCTGAAGTGCAGCGGTGCAGTCTCAGCTCACTGCAGCCTCTGCCTCCTGGGTTCCAGTGATTCTCCTTCCTCAGCCAACCGAGTAGCTGGGATTGCAGGCGTGTGCCACCACGTGAGGCTAATTTTTGTATTTTTTACTAGAGACGTGGTTTCACCATGTTGGCCAGGCTGGTCTTGAACTCCTGACCTCAGGTGATCCACCCACTTCGGCCTCCCAAAAGGCTAGGTTTACAGGTGTGAGCCACTGTGCCCAGCCACTTCTTTAAATACTTAATAATCAGTAGTACTTGTAGAAAATACTGGCTTTCTCTTTAACAAAGGGTCTTGCAATGATCATTTGTGATTACAAAACAGCAATATTTCAACCTTCGCAGCGTCAGGACTGCTTATTGCCCTGGGTTGGTCATGGGTAATTATGTTTTCTTCTCTGTCCCTCCCTGTCTATCACTGTTTATGCACATAACTCCAGAGTTGGAGGTTTCCTCCTACATAAAAAGGGATCTGATTAAATGAGCTGATAGGCCCCTGACGTCCTAAAAATCATTGGTTCTGGAATTGGCAGCTGGAGGAGGCTAGCTCTGTCCTTAAACCAGCCCCTATGACTAGCCTCTCTTCCCCAGGCCAACTAGTGTCAGAAAGAATCAACCAGCAGCACAGTAAATAATTGATCTTCAACATGTGCTTCTAATTCAAATAAAGGGCATTTAACCACAGTGAGTATTGCATGTGACTGAAGTATTTTATGTGGAAATTTGAAGATTTCTGATAACTTGCTGTAAAGGAGTTTTCACAGTGACTAAATCTCCAGGGGCCCTTTCTATTTCAAGTTCAAGTTACTTAGACAGTGATTAAAGACCTTTTATAGGCCCTTGTGGTAAATGATAGCATAGAGAAAAAAAATTCTTTGGCTATGTAATTTAGCAAGACTTAATCTATTTGTTTGAGTTTTCATCCATCGGGCTTGCTGAAATACTTTAAATAATTAACCTGTTTCTCTGCAGCCTTAAGTGTCCCCGGAGTTTCCATTCCGGGCCTGAGATGAGTGATTACCCAGCACAGATTGCCTTACTTATTCAGAAGACTCTCCATCTCGGTCCAGCTGCTTTTTCTTGGGACAGCAGGCAGACCCTAGACATGGTATCCTTTTATGTTACAGTGTTTATAAAGTAGAATAAATCGATGAGACCCAACAGCAAAAAGCTGTTGATTTTATTCATTTTATTTTTGTTCTTTTCTATGGTCCCTGCTAGGTACTCAGCAACTGAATCTATTGAATTTCAAAACATGTAGAGGTGTCGACGTAAGTCTCAAAAGTCTGCACAGAGAATCCTAAACCACAAGCATGGACATTTCCAAGGAAAGAAGCACAGGGTGGCAGGATGAGGCAAGAGGCTGCTTACTCCAAGCCAAATCTCATGACCCAACCGCACAGTCATAAGAGGAGCGTGTTCAGTTGCTTTGGGAAACCGAGAGCAGCGAAAGAAACACTTGGGAATTTACTGGTAGATAAGGTTTTTCTTATTGAAGAAAAGCTTCAAAGTAACGCAGACCAAGGATGGTTTCTGGGCAGCATTATGATTATGTCTTTTCAGGAGAATATCCCTTGTAGGGGACCTTACTTGCTGTCTACCCACAGATTTATCTGAACTGAGTCTCGGTTACTAGTTTTTGTTTTCAAAGACCTCCTATCTAAGGGAACATTTGCAAAGAATTCACCAAGTACTTCCCTGCTGCATAATCTGTCTGTCTGTGTGTTCTGTGTTAACGCCAACTTGCGTCTTGCATGTGGAGCCAAAAGGTCTCTTCTCGAGAGTCTGGGTCATACTGCTCCTTTAAAAATGAAAGTGAGACCGAGAGAGAGAGTGAGAGGCCACGCTGATTTTGGAATTGAGTCACGGCTTTGTGATTTATAGAGTACGGCGGGTGAATAGGTGTGGTGTCTAGATATCCACATGCAAAGCTTACCTTAAAAGACACAGGACTTTGCACGTGCCTTGCAGAACATTCAGAACGAAGAATCAAGGCTTGCAATTGACAAGACTAACAGGTAGAATATATTAAACTGAGGAGAATCTGGTGCCTCATCATTTACATAAAAATGGCCTAGAGACTCCACTCAGCACATGTCCTGGCCAACTCAGAAATAATGAAATACAAATATTTAAAGAAAAATCTGGATTCCTTGGTGTGTATCTAAACTCCTCTCAGATATTCTAAGTTGACACCATTTAGTCTCGGTGAGGGATGGGGGTCTGAGATGACATTAACGGAGTTTTATTTTTTGCCCAAGTTGTGCAGTGCCTGCTTTATCCTAGTTTTTGTGAATTTTAGACCATTAACCCTAGTGAGAGTCCCAAATAAAACACAGAATGTAGTTATGCCGGGGGTGGGAGCGGGGCGTGTGGCGGGGAGAAAGAAGCAAAGGAGCAGCAGGCCTGGTCAATCCTTTTAACAAAGTCATTTCACGACAGCAATACCTTTGTGTCTTACAACAGTGGCATTTCGTCAATTCCTTTGAAAGCACGCTGTTTCCAGTCACCGATTCCGTCAACTGTCATGGACAAGCACAAGTTAGACCTAGGTCGTGTATATATATATATATATATATATTTTTTTTTTTTTCTTACTATCCTGGCTTCCTGGATAATTTCCCTTAGACGTATTGCTCACTGTGTCAATTAGAAATCGTATTTATTTTCACTCATGGAAAAGACATTTGGACATATGCAATCTAGGGCTGCAGCCTTTCCAATACTTTCTGTTTTCCCTGGTAGGGGTTATCCTTGATTTGCATCCTTACAAGGTGGCCTCAAGAGCGTAAGCTACCAAGTTAGAGGTCCAGATGGAGGGAAGGATGAGCAGGGAGCGTAAAGGGGCTCGTGCCAGCCAAGTCAGCTTAAAAGCTTCCATAAAAGCCACACCCAAAGATTCCTGCTACCATCTCATGTGGCACAACTATTCCAGTTAACCGTATCCTCCAGCAACTTCCACTGGGACTGGAAATACAGCTGTTTGTTTGTTTGTTTACCTGAGTACATTGTTTTCCCTTTAGGAATTTGTTAGGGAAAAGAAGGTAATTGGAGAGTCAATCAAATGGAAATTAAAAATATCCACCTGACTATGTTATTGTGGGGATTAAATTGCTGCATAAATCACTTGATAATACTCAACTAATCTGGCGGCACATGAAAACAAGATTTTCTTCTCTCTCTCTAGTCTTACTCATTTCTCCAGGGCCCTGTTCAGAAACTGTAACACACGCTGGAGCAATATCTTGATGCCACAATTTGCTTTTTTTTAAATCTAATTAAATTCATTTAATACTTTCATTTTGGGGGAAAAGGTAGATGGCCTAAGAAAAAATATTCAACCGACTTCTCATTATTTGCAGGGCATTTGAAACTAGATTTGCCGTTTAACATAGAACATGCTTGTGATACTTACAGAAGCAACTGATCTTTATTTCAGATACACCTGTTCTCCAAGCTGTTAAAAAAAAAAAAAAAAAAACCCACAAAAATGCTTTACAATGCTGCCTAGGTTCTATTTATATGAAGAAGCATTCTTATTTTTGGTGTACTATGCCCAATGCTGACCACATCAGCAAAGAGAACTTATACCAGAGAAAATAGGTATGTGCACACACTTTTTGCATTATTTTAAGATCTTTATTATTAAGTAAGTCATTGGGGGTATCAAAGTATATCATAAAATTACGCAGAAAATTAGAGATAAATATTACATAGAAATGCTGACTTTATATTGTCTTCCAAGTACAAGCGTTTGTGTATAGAGGCTCATAGCACAACAAAATGTATTTCACGGGGCACTGATGCTCCCATTCTGATACTGACAAGGCAAATGTCAGTGGTAACAGAGTCAACAAAGCAAGGTGAAATGAAACTAGATGTAGGTAAAACAGACTAAAAAAGTTTTAAAACATTTTTGTTTATTGTCTTGGTGGCTATTTTCTACTTACAATATTGCAGTACTCTTATTTAGCCAAGTAATTGCTGCTGTAAAATCCAAATCTACAGTGTGCATAATTTTTTAAATGGAGTTTACGTTCCTCAAACAAGACTAAAAACGATCATTACTTGGGTCTCTAATATTAAGCTTCAGAAGAGTTTTGCAACTTTTGACCTGAACAAATCTCTTATCCATAAAACAAGAGGAATAAAAGATTGCACATGTGCAAAACAGAAAAGAAAAGAAAACAGAAAAGCACTCTACATACCTATAACTATATATTTTACTTTTATTTATAATCTTGAACTATGTAATTCAGTTCATTTACTTGTGTGTTTTAATTTAAATGGAGAGAGAGAAAAAGAAGTATTTTCCAGAAAAAGCAAACACTGTGTGTATGTGTCTGTGTGCAGGTACTTAAATAAAATAAACAAATAAACTGTGGCACGTACTAATTTCCAGTGCAGCAACAACATAAAACAGAAACAAAATACAAATAATTCTGAATGTTCCTAAATATACCTAATATCTCTTTGATTCAGAAAGTTTAAAGTGACTCTTTACTCACAGGCCAGTGGATGTGGGCTTAAAGTGATCATGATTAACATCTTTTAACATGAAAATAGAGTATACAAACTTATGTTCTAAAATTAAAGAAACTTCATTGTACTCAGATTCTCCACTTATTGTGCATTAAAATCAGTTTAATTAAATTCTATCTCACAAATTCCTTCATTTAAATGGTTGTTCCAAGTTCAATAGTGGGGTTTCCTGCAATCCAGCTCAATCATTTGTGTCTTATACGGTAACCAAGACAGGAAGAATACATAACTGCTTATGGGCACAAATAATTATCTCCCTCTCCACCTTCCCCGGAAAAGGTTTCTATTCTTTATGTAGCAGCCAAAGTTGCAATCTTTTGGGACCAGCAAACTAGCAACAGTTTCTCTCCAAGTATCTGAGACTGTTTATCACTGCTAACCATCCCCTCACTTCATCTGTATGATCTTGTCCCTTGGTCACGTTCTGGAAGAAAGTGGGACATGAACATAGAAAATCCCCTTCTCAGAAAACCTGGAAAAGTCATGGTTGCCTTGTTTCTGCTCTCTATTTGTTGGAATCAACCAGGGAATTTAAGAGAGAAATGCTGCTCTAAATACTGTCAACTTTTTTTCTGCCTCATCGGTTAGAGAAAACATAGCTTCTAGCACCCATTGATCACTCACTGGCAAGTGGCAGTGGAATTGGAGGCATGGACAATTTGTTACAGCCACTCACTATGCTTGCTGAAACCAAGACAGTCCAAGAGGCAGCCTGGTGACTTAAACTGGTAAGCTGATCTCACAGTTATGTGTCTCAACATCACAGCTTACTCAAAGTATCTTTTGCATATCCTGGTTACATATGATACTTTTTATAGGAAATCTTCATAGCATTATCAATGCTGACATATTTAAACATGTATTATTTATGCTGGTTTCATTGTCATTTTATTTTTATTTATTCCAGCCTCCTTCCTGCCTTCATTCCCCATTTTTGAATACTATACCTCCAACTGAAGATACAAACATATAAGATAAAAAAGATAAATTTTAATCAATTAGGCTTCTTAATAGCATTCTTAATACAAAATTGGCTAACCAGAAAATATTTAATAATTGAGAGCTATGGAATTTTTAGATTATCTTTTACCAAGTTTAACTTACTCTACTTACCCAGCATCATCATAAAACATAGCTATACCACGTTTTTCAAAAAAGAAGCCACGTTTACAATGACTTGTCTATGGTGACTGGCTGGAAGATAAAATGATCTAGTGGTCGCCTTCATAATCACAATTTAGAACTACATTTGGGATTCCACAGAGATCCTGTTTAAAGTCAGGAGAGCTTTCTGATAAGGTGGTTCCCTATACTCAGGTGTGGCAGAAGTGGTGGTTTCCTCAGGGTTTTCACAACTGCTAACAATGGCAACTGCACTAAATGACCTTCGTCTTGCCTTGGTGTCTGATGTGCAGGATCCTCGAACTGGTGGTGCTTTCTCTATGTGGAGCTGCTGGTCTTTCCAGTCCAGTTGCTTGGCACTGCAAAAGGGGGCATAGACTTCCACACTTCCTTCAAACTGTAAGCAGTTCACTTTATAATACTTCCTCTTAACTTCCAAGACATCATTAAACCTATGGCCCCAGAGAATTTCTCGGGGAACATAGGAGCTTCTAGATTGGTGAGATGTTCCAGTGGAATCACCAGTGTAGATAAATGTCACCAAAATCTCAAAGTTATCTTTGGCGACTGCTTTGCGGTCAAGGGCATACAGAGGGCTCTCATGGTCAATCTCATGGACAATAGTTACTGGAGTGACCAGGATAATCTGGTCATTGACTAACTTGAGGTCTTTAAATGCCATCATCATCCTCCCTTCACTATCTTCTGTGTAACGAAGAAGTTGGGCTCTAACTGTTCCTTCTACCACGTGGTTTGGCCGAAAATCACCAATGCGCCACATGAGACAAAGCTTCCCATCCCTCATGCCTATAAGTGCAAAGTAGCTGAAACGAATGGTTTGGGCTCTCTTTCGAGCAGTTGCCATTTTGGCCAAGGCAGCTCCAATGATAAAGGTGTTTATGATGCAACTTAAGATGGACTGGAGGATCACCATGAGCACTGCCACAGAGCATTCTTCAGTAACACAGCGATAACCGTATCCTATGGTGGTTTGGGTCTCAAGGGAGAACAAAAAGGCTCCTGTGAAAGAATGGACATTGTCAACGCAAGGTGTGATGTCTGGATCATTTAGTAGATCACCATGATGAAGGGCTATGAGCCAAAAGACAGAGCCAAATATCAACCAGGAGAGAATATAAGACAAAGAAAATATCACAAACATATGGCGCCACTTGGTGTCCACGAGAGTGGTGAAAATGTCGACCACATAGCTTCCCCATTCTCCAAAAATGTGCTTGAAGTAGACATTACAGCTGCCATCTTTGTGAAGCAACCGTCTTCTTGCTCTTCTCTTCTCAGCTATAATGTGCTCTGGTGGGTAGCCTGGGTATTTTGCATCCACATTTACGATATGATAGCTGCTACCGTAATAGCTCATTCTTTCCTCTGTCCTTAGAGTATCCAGGTGAGTTTTGTAGTAGTAAGAATTCTAGACGTGTTGCTATTTCTTGGTTTGGGTTTTCAGTGAAAACCTAAAAAATAACAAGCAACAAAAACACACTTTTTAGCTTTCAATTTCCTTTTTTATAGCAATTGGCCAAATTTGGAGCAGTGCCATAGCGTCTAAAATAGCTAAGACTTCATCTGAACATTAGCAGCACAATATTGATTACTCATTTCAGTTTAGAATTCAACCAGTCATTATAGAGACAAATAATGCAATTAGAGAAAATAACATTTTTAGATATGAATAAGGCTTGGGTATACACCGTGATTATTGCAAATGATGCCTCACCAACTTTTCTGACCTGATATATATATATACACATATATACATATATATATATATATATATATATATATATAAACACATATATGTCTGCTTCATTTTTATAAACTCTTCTTGCATGAGGCATTTAGAAAACAATGTAATTGCTAATATAAAAAGGCAAAATACAATTCAGATATGTATCTAGCAGTCATAAGCTTCCCGTTTAAGTCAGATGGTTGTTTCTTAGAAGAAGGATGCAATAAAGAGTTTCTATTTTCATATCATAACGTAACTTTCAAACTCATTACTGTAATAGGTAACCCCTCACCTTCAGCACCTGGTGCTTCCTCTGTCTTCCACGGAGGCTTTTCTTCCTTGTGTATTTCCCAGGACAAACAGAACTGACAGGGGCACTACTTCACATTAAATTCATTTTCCTCTAGCTCCACCTTTAGTCTTGAAAGAAAGAAAGAAAAAAGCATCTTTCTTAACCTCAGTGGAGCTAAAACCACTCCCAGGTAAGCTTTCAGAAAGGTGTAAAATTGCTTCTACCTTTGTCTCATAACATCCATCCTCTTTTTTTTTTTTTCTTTTATGGACACTGGCAGCTCTTCTCTTTCCCTCTGAATAGAAACCCGAAAATTTGCCAAAGTTGCTAATCTCATTTCCCTCTTAAAGGGAGCACGCTACAATTGAACCCTCCTCTCTGGCTGTTCAGTGTTTTCCTGATTCTTTCACAGACGTCCTTAGGCAAAGTAGTGTTTGTACCTCCAAATTCAGTCTTGAAAAGATCAAGGCAGAACATGCAGCCCTTATCATTTTTAGCATCCATGGTACAATAGGCCAATGGATTTCCCAGCTCAAATCTGAAAGTGAAATTTAAAGCTGCAACATCAAAATCATCTTGAGTTACTTCTACACAAAACAAATAAAAATAGAAGTATTGTAACCAATTTTAATAGCTCAGTAACTATTAGAATATGTGTTTTACACATTCTACCTATGCTAGACGGGATAAAGGGAGTATAACAGAGGAATTTTAGGGAATCCTACCTCTCTACTACATAGAAAATGTGATATGAATAAATACTATTCCTGACATAAAGACCCCTTGGAACCAACCAGGGAAATTCATCACTAAATACGTATTCAGCACCTTCTCTGCTACAAAAGGACAGAAAGAGTTAACTTCTCTCCAGTGAAAAAGAATCATTTTTCTTTTCCTCCAGGGATCAGGCCCACTTTACAATAAACTCTTTGTTTAATGCACCACTTACAAAGATGGACTCTGCTTAAAGCCAGAAACTCCTCTAAAGCATGTATGGATTTCTCTCTGTCCTCTACCTGCCTATCAGACACTTCATTCACTCATCTCCAGATCTGTTCTGAGTATTTATATCCTCTCCTTTGTCAGCACTTCAACCAGGTTTTGGGAAAGCCAGTTGTATAATTTCAGGATGTGACCTGCAAAAATGCTTACTGGAAGGCTGAATGTAAGATATTTCAACAAATTTTGTCCATAACAACCACTGTACCTTGGAGGTTTCTATCTGACTGATTTGTCATTGAACGATATTTTACAAATAAGAACCTGTTATAGGGTTCTCAGTGTCCACTCGCTCAACTAGTCATAGGAGGCATGAGAGTGGGATGAAGTATAATCAAAGGTCCATATAATTTCAAATTAAAAAGCAGATATGGAGATAGAATTGTTTTCTTGTTAAATGTGTCCAGTCTATTTCCTTCAAGGGAACTACACACATGATGGGAGTCTCAGAGTTAGAAAGCACTGTTCGTAAATCCAGAGCTACTGTGGGACTCTGCTCTTTTTGGCTGCCAAAAGAAAAAAAGAAGGTTTTATTTGAAATGGCATTCAGTTGGCATCATTTTGAATTCCAGGGGTACTAGCAACTGTTATAAATAAGACTCTTTTCAAAACACCTTCCAAAGTGAATGAGTTTTCAATTAATACAAGTTACAAGTGAGCAAATTTGAATGTGTTGGAAATTTATTGCTGAATAATGTAACAATTGGAGAGATACAAGTTACAACTAAAAATTCGGCCCCAACCTCACCGTGTTTCCTGATGTGGTTCACTATTGTGATCATTAATTTCAACTTACCCAAAGACAAGCACTGAGATTCTGTTTAGGTCTATATACTTTATTCATCCATTTCTTGAATCTCCAACTATATATATAATGCATTTTTAAAAGCCAGTTTTCTTTAGGCTAAATGATAAATTGTAACCAAATGAATCATATTCAGTCTGACCCATTTCTCAGCCTATCCAATGAGCAAAGAAGTTTATGGAGGCCTTTTTGTCACAGGGACGAGAAAAAATATCTATTAGTCTCTTATATAGTATGTTGGGTTAATTTGAGCACTTTTTCAACTGTTTACCATTAAATAACAGAGACTAGCACTTTTTGATTGGCTGGAATTTTATATTTAACATTTGTGTTTCTTAGGATTAAAACTCAGCCTTAAAAAATGCTTCAATTTTCCATAATTTCCTTGACACTGTCAATTCTACAATGAGAGAGAATTTGCAATGTTCCTACTTCTGTAATTTTTTGCATAATGCTCCCTAGAAACTGATGGTGGCTATTTCATTGGTTTAAGCATTTATTTTTTGTTGCAAATGGAAATTATTATCAACTATCATTACAAAACTGTAGAATATGAAGTTCAAAAGAAAATGCTGAATCAGGTAAGGTCTATTCTGCCAGATAATAATGACTAATGTAGTAAAATCACAGCCATTTCTTTGCTTAGAAATGACATAGAGTTCTTTTACAGATGAGGCTGGAGAAGAGGCAATGTAGTCAGAATGGTGAAGCATTTCCTTAGAATGCCATTCATGTTTATTAAATGCCCACAGACACTGAGGAAAGCAATGAGAGACTCCCTGATTTACTTCATCCCACGAGGAGGACTGAGCGGGGTGGCGGGGGAGAAGTTAGAAGGGTCAGTAACTCCAACCCTGATAACCATTTTTCTCATGTCTTACTCATTGTATTAAGTTCAGATACAGAAACATTTCTTAATACTGTGACCAGTAGAATACTTTTACGTTTCAGCTTTCTAAATCTTTGTATGCATTTAAGGAGAAACTTTAAATAATCTAGCACATTTCAAATAAGCCATAAACACAGCAAGGAACATTCTCAACAAAACAAATGCACATCCTGCTTATTTGTCCCTGTTTCCAATACACAAAAACATCTCAATTGGACTCATCAATTTTGAAGCCATTCCTCTGCCACTTTGGCACCTCTTCTATAACTCAGCAACTTACCAGGTAAACTCCTCTTGTCGATTGCTCTTCAAGATAAGCTTTTCATTAGCATATCGAGGGTCCAACACAGTGGTTAAGACACTGATGATAAAACTGGATCTTTTCTCTAGCATCTACTTAACATAATATATTAATATGAATTGTCTGCTTTGTATACTTTGAGATGCACCACAAAAAAGGTATACTGTTTCTTTAAAAAATCCAATTCTAAATGTCTGTGGTCTTTGGGATTAACAAGTGCCTTCTTGACCATGTAAAAGACCTGAGGTAGTTAACACATGAAGTAATCAGTATTCAAGTTGCTTTCCTGACAACTATTAGATAAGTTTTGGTGGAAATTTGAGAGCTGATGGAGTAGAGAGTAGGAGAGATGGCCTAATTCCATATGCAGGTCATTGCCCTTGAAGACAGGCTTACTTAGGCAGAGCTCTCAGCGAGGAGGAGGAGACAGGGGAGGACGGGACCCAGAGTAGGTGAAGAGTAGGCCAGCGGAAAAGGTGCAGTTGGATGATACATTTGGGTGGGCTTTTGGTGCTGAGGAGCAAAGAGAGAGAGAATTATTGAGTTAGGATGACACCAAGCCAAATTAGGCTATGTTGCTATTTTGCTCAAAACCTGTTCTACGACTTCTTGCCCTAAAATTATTCAGGAACCTGAGGCTTGGAATCCTCCTAAAACTGGCTGGGAATTCTTTTTTGTGTGAGATCCAAGAACCTTCTGCTGGGGTCTGGATCAGGACTCTTTTCCAGTAACACCCATGAGAACTCAGTTTCTTCCTCTGTAGAATATCAGAACACTTGTTTTCACTCTCAAAGGATGTTCCTCCAGCAGGACACTTTGGCGGAGAGCATATAGTTCCCAATCCATATTTCTATCTAAGCTCAGGAATTTTGAAACAAGGTCTTCCTCTGTCACCTAAGCTGGAGTGCAGGCATGATCAGAACTCACTGCATCCTTAATCTCCTTGGCTCAAGCCATCTTCCTGCCTCAGCCTTCCAACTAAGTAGCTGGGACTGTAGATGCGTGCCACTATGCCTGGATAATTTTAAATTTATTTTTAGAGACAGGGTTCCATTGCATTGCCCAGGCTGGTCTTGAACTCCTGAGCTCAAGCAATCCTCTGGCCTCAGCCTCCCAGAGTGTTGGGATTACAGATGTGAGCCACTATGCCCAGCCAAATTTCCTTTCTTTTTTGCAACCATCCCTACATGGGAGATGCCCTGCTCCTTATTGTCAACACAAATACCTGAAAACAACACACACACACACACACACACACACACACACACACACACTCATACACACACATACGTCTATACAACTCAATTTAATTTAAACATTTTATTACTATTTACACCTTTACTATGTATTACTTTAGGAACAAGACTAAAGGAGACAGGAATGACAGGCTTGGCAAAGTCAACAGGGTAAAGAAATCACAAGGTGATTAACATGCTTATTCTTTGTCTTAAATTGTGTGTACATGTTTTACTAAGATGGTTCTGCAACTTTCTCTTATTTTTATCTTGAAAATCAGGCCCATCCCTGTCTTGGTTGGATGTTAGCCCAAATTGCTTAGATTTTTACCTTGATCTGGATCTGGGTTGGCAAAGAAGTCAGGTAACATGAGATCCAATGTCCCTTTAAAAGACCACTCACTGTTCAGTCTCTTTTCATTGTATAAGAAAAGCAATTCCCCTAACAGTCTCTAAATTCCCCATGGGAGTATTTGCTACCATTATTTTCATCCTCTTTTTCTTTTATTTATTTTTTTTGTTTTTTACATTTTTTTTTAAGGTGGGGTTTCACCCTGATGGCCAGGCTGGTCTTGATCTCCTGACCTCAGGTGATCCACCCACCTTGGCCTCCCAAAATGCTAGGATTACAGGCGTGAGCCACCACACCCGGCCTCTTGTTTCTTTTAATTCATTAAAAAAAAAAAAAAAAAACTGACTTCCTTTGGGAGGCTGAGGTGGGTGGATCATGAGGTCAAGAGATCAAAACCGTCCTGGCCAACATGGTGAAACCCCATCTCTACTAAAAATACAAAATTAGCTGGGCATGGTGGCATGTACCTGTAGTCCCAGCTACTCGGGAGGCTGAGGGAGAATTGCTTGAACCCAGGACTTGGAGGTTGTAGTGAGCCAAGATCACG